GTTACTCTGCGGTGGGACTTGGTTGGTTGCCGTCGCATGAGTCGGCTGTCGCTGGTTGTTGATCGTCTGCGAGCTGTGCTGGAACTGTGCCTGCGTCGACCCCGTTGGGGTCGGTGCCGCCGCCATATAACCCCCGGGCCTCGGTGCCCCCAATGCGGGGACGTTTGGCCGTCCTTGCTTGGACTGCCTGTTCGGCGGCGTCGGGGGTTGCGCGGCGTTTAAACGAGCCATGGTGAGTTGTTGGGCTCGAGCATCGTTTTGGTGGTGCGTTGTGGCCCCCCGCGAATTCCCGTGGATCTCCATGGCTGAGGCCCCGGGTCTGGCGTTTGGGTTGTGCAGGGCGCCAGGTCGGTCCCAGTCCCCCTTCTTGTCAGGCTTCCCGACCTTCATCCAATCATACTCACCGTCTTCGACACCGCCTGCGTCCTTCAGTGCCTGCGTGAATAGTTCCCGCAGGTAATCGTAGTCAGGCGTGTCTTCAAAGCCAAGGTTGCGGACGTATGTGAGGTACTGAACAAACTGGTCTGGGAAACCCTCGCAAAGCTCTTTGATCGGGGTGGTCTGCTTCTTTTCGCCGATCTTCTCATACTTCTGCTTGTTAGTAGCCGCCTTGAGGCCCTGCCATGGCAGACCACCACGCAGGAAGTACATAAACACGTGGCCCAAGGCCTCCAGATCGTCGCGCCTCGACTGTTCCCTTCCAAGATGGGTGTTAATACTCATGTACCGAGCGGTTCCCGAGAGCGATTTGCGCTCTCTATAGGGAATGTGCTGCTTTGTTTTCGGGTCACGGTATTGCTTGGCCATACCGAAGTCCACGACATGGATGACATTGGCGGTTTTCGTACCGGGCCTGCCGATCAGGAAGTTGTCGGGCTTGATATCCCGGTAGATGAGGTTCTTCTCGTGGATTGTTTGTACTCGGGAGAGCTGCCAGCACAGTCAGATCGGCGCCAGGGGATGGAGCAAATTGGGGAATACGAACCATTTGCTTCGCAACCATGACCACAGTCTTGAGAGTGAACCTTCGGTTGCAGTGGTCGAAAAGGTCTTCCAATGAGGGTCCAAGGAGGTCGATAACGAGTATGTTGTGCAGGCCCTCTTGGCCGAAGTAGTAGACGTTGGGGATGCCGGCTAATGGGCTTGTCAGTGCACCTAGCGCGAATGTTTTTCCTCATTTTCACTCACGGCATCCAACGAGGATCTTATACGTCCGGTACTCGTCGCGTAATTGAGGAGCATCACTCTTCCTTGGTTCCTGCGGAAGAATAGTTAATAAAGACTTACTACAAGGATATCGAATGACTGGGTACTGAGACTGTCAATACGCACAAACTTGATCGCAACCTGCTGGCTGTTCAGAAGATTGGTCCCTTCAAAAATGACGCCAAAAGAACCCTCTCCGATCTTTTTCCCCACCCTATAGTGTACGCCAACTACGTTTGATGACGACGAAGCCATTTTGGGCGGACTGGACGCTTCCGGGTCGAGTAAATAGAAGTTCTGGTCGCAACGCCGAGAATGCAGCCTAGAAAGACAGAAGCGAGTCTATACACCGATCGTTCCGCGCTATGTGCGACTGGATCTGAGTATCAGTAACTGTCGACAGTGTGCAGCCACGTAATGGGATCCGAGAATAGAGCATCAATCGTGATTGTGGAATTGGAGCGAGATGCTTTAGTGTGGTGCAGTAGAGGGATACACGGTCGAAGCGAAAAGGCAGAAAGACTGTCGGAAAACGAGGCGCAGGGCCTGGAGGCAAGACTGCGGGAAAACACAACCAGTGGTGGCGGGTACACATCAACCGACTTACCCAAGCTTTGCACTCTGGTTCCCCTTTTTGCACGCAGCGGGCGGTGTTCACCGTTGTCGCGGAGGCGAAGCTTTCTTGGTGTTGATTTGGTCGGACTAGAGAAATAATGGGACAAGCAATTGTTTCGGCCTCGAGGTTTTGGGGGAGGCACCCGCTTGCGATATGGATCTGGTCGACCGAATTGGTCGATAGCTCGTTGTGTGGTGCTTGAGCTAGCCAGCCGCCTGTTATTATTCGGAAAAGACAAATCGAGTGCCGGCCGGGGTGGAAGGCGGTGACTCTGGGAGGGGGGGGGTTCAGATGCCGCAATCAATCGCCTCCGGGAAGACTTGTCATCTGTGTGCCTTTGCAGAGGCACACAGATCTTGATGGATGGCGATGGTCGTGTGTCGTTGGGGACTGCGAGATTGAGAAGGAGGAAAACGGAGAGGTGAAGGGAGGCCGACAGATGGGGAAGGCAGAGCAGCAGAGAGGAGGACAGGGAGGATCAGGTGCACGGGCTGGGCAATCCAGCACGGGCTTGATGCGGGCGCGGGCTGCAGACAGCGGGCAAAGCGCCAGTTGCAGGTCAGTGGCTCACAATTGTCAGGGCCAGGCTGCCGGCTGGCTACCGCTGGCTACCGCTAGCTACCCCGTCATCCTGTAGAAGAGCCTGGGCAATTTTTGCAGCCCCCGACAAGGCAGGCCTCTTGGGCAATCCGCGAATTTGCGAATGCATACTTCGTAACTTCACGACACGGCATTTCCATTGGATCGGATCAGATTAGCTCTGACTGGAGGCATTGCTAGGCACAAGTCGTCTTACCTTGCCGCACACCTTGTCCAGCGATGTCCAGCAAAGCCTCTACTTCCACAACATGAGGGTGGGCAGTCCAACGCCGGGGCGGAGGCGTAGCCCGATGACAGCAAAACATGGGGAAAATGCAGGCCAAGCTCCCATTCCTCACAGCAACGGGTGTTCTTTGAGCTGGTACGAATCAACGATGCTCCAGTCCCCCCCCCCCTGTTCTGCGGCCAGTCGTAGCCGGTTGAGAGCCATGCAACTTTGCAATCTTGTGATTGGCATCTCACTGAGCGCTGGAGTGCTGGAGTGCTGCGCAGTGGTCGGTTTGCCAGGCCGAGACTAAGACAGACCAAGAAAGATTCTTCGCCTTGCAGGTCAGCAGTGGCAGAGTGGCAAGCAGCCAGCCCAAAACAGGAGGACCGCAGAGGACCGCAGAGGACCGCAAAGGACCGCAGCGCCTGAGCCTGGAGAGCGGCACAACAGAGACAGCAGCCAGCCTGCTTGTTGGAACTCGGGTTGAGCTGGTTGATGCAGGCCATTTTGTTCCTGGCTGTTCCCATCCCCCATCCTCGTCCCCCTGCTCCCAACGTTTGGATGCAGCGTCCAAGCTCACCAGCATCCCCTGCAGAGAGCGGGGGGATGCAGCGATGCTGTTGGGTGAAATGTCCGCTTTTACGGCTTTGAAACGACACGTATTTTGGACCCCTTTTGTTTTACCACCCACCGACGTTGACCGCTCATCTGGCTCCTCAACGCCCTGGGGCCGGAACTGGAACTGGCGAGGAGAGCTGGCCGCGGGACCGATGGTGGCAACTTTTATCGGGCTCTCGATACGGAAGGTCGGTCGGCATTGACCGACGCCTCTCAGATCGCCACTCGGCCGGGCTAAAAATCCGGGTGTGTCGAGGTGGGCCTCGCTCTGAGTTCTCTTGGCATGGTCTAAATTTGCTCCCTCGTCAATCCGCAATATTCTCAGATGCCCCGGGGCAACATCGCGCAGCTACCCCCGTCCCGATCACTTCCAAGACCTCGCAGTGCAGAGTGATAGCCAAGCGTTTCGTTTGCCGCACAAGACCGCCGTCGACGCTGACGAATTGCACGCCTGACCGTCGGGAGAAACAGTGGGCAGTTGGGAACACACTGCATAATGGTCAAGATTGGCACCAATGCACCTCGAGCTTCCCAAAGTGGAGCGCCAGCCTCTCATCAGCCTCCCCAGCCTGCCAAACGCACAACTGAGCTGGCGGCCCAGGACCGCAACCGCACTCCTCGAGGCACCGGAGGCGGCAGGGCCAATGGGGAACCAGCCGCGGCCTCGAACCAAATGCATAAAGGGGCGGCTAAAATGCCGCTTTTCTTCCTTTCGATAGCGGGCGTATGGCCTTCGCACCAGTCAACTTTCATGGTGAGACGAAGGAGAGTGACAGCATTGCCGCGCTGGGTGGGGTCTACCAACTAAGTATGGGGATAATTACCGCGTAGAACAAAGTCTGTTTTGAAGGAGAGAGGGGTCTAGGCGCCTTTAGTGCTGGGTTCTGAACTCTAAATCCGGTGGTTGGACCGCTGTTCCTTTGGCAAACCACAACCGAATCCTCCTAAAAATGGGAAGAGGGGCGACTCCAATGGATGGGCGCATGTGTTTCATGCTTTGCAGGACCGTTTTTGGGCGCAGGGAATGCGTTCAACTTCCAGCGTCCCCCAATAGAAGGTTGGCACAGCCTAGGGCGCTGGACACGGCGAACAAGGCTATGCCTCCGAGTTTCGCTTCATCTCCGGCCTCGAGCCAATCTCTCCGTCGGGAGCTAGGTACGACCTAGGCCCGCAGCGCTCCGATATGAGCAAGAGATGTGGTGCAACACACCCTGTCGGAAGCTCGTCATGGCTTCTATACCCCAAGAATTACACACATACACATCGTACCTTACACCGTCACCCGCATTCAAGACAGTGATCACGGCGCAGGGCATCGACGTTCAGTGAGAGATGAAGAACCGGACTGGGGCTCTTAGAGTTCCGTCCCCAGCGAGAAATTCCTTTGCTCACCGAGCTGACATGTGCTCCCGCGTCTACGATTCTCCGCGGACTGCCTTGGCTGCCCCGAATGGGTCGATCCGATCGGTTACTCCGCTCGCGACCGATCAATCCCTGACTGCGGCCAATTACACATCTGGCGAGAGCGGTCAATGAAGAGCCGTCAAACTGCTGGGTGTAACCGTGATGCCAGCAGCCAAGATATAAGCCTATCTTGCGTCCAGCCTATGAGGCTCAAGGAGCATGGGAATGACTTTTAACCCAAAGAGGAGGTGGGAGCCCACCACCACCCGGCAGGGAGCCGGCAGGTCGATTGCGGTGTCCGAGTCATGGGGCCACAGTATGGAGCACACATCCAACAGAAAGCATCCTGGCAACGTGGCCGAGTGGTCTAAGGCGTTTGACTTGAATCAACTTGATATCTAATCATCTTGAGAGCCAATCAAATCTCTTCGGAGGCGCATGTTCGAACCATGCCGTTGTCGATAATTCTCGCTGAGTACCGAGTAGCATTCAACGTATCTTTTTTTTTTTGCGGCCTTTTCGACCGTCTTTAAACAGACAGAACGTAGGTTCTGAGAAGCCCCCACTCCCGTATCAAGATTTCTAGATTTCTCCTTTGCCCGATATTTCATGATCTTGGTAGTATTGAGACTATCCGTCAGGCGATCCAACCAACAACCCCATTACATAATCATTAAACTGCAAACACAATTTGCAAACACACTCGTAGTAGACACAGCAGACCTTGCAAACTCAAACATTTAGTTTATGCTCCGCTAACGTAGCGTGATTCCCATTCTCGCTTGAAACCTTCAAGATCAACCAACGGCTGGCATCTAGCGCGGCAGCTAACCCTCTAGACTGCAGGCTATGTGTATGTTTTCATAACGTCTCATGAAGCCTCCGACAAGAAAAGCTATATCACAAATTACTTGTACACTTCGTGCAACGATCTATTGCACGCCTTATTTCCCTTCAGCCCGACAAAAGAAAAGAAAATCGAGAGAGCAAGAACAGAAGGCAGAATGGTTCGTCTCCAATGCCAATCCACAATGCCAATCCACCCACCCCCTGTGCTTTTGTTGCTCGTGTAAACTTTTCCATCGCTTCCATGGAAAAAGAATCCGGCCATTCCTATCACGCATTCATTCTCGGCCCAAACAGCTTTGACTTGGACAGCAAGCTAGTCCCATCAAATATCGACTTCCCGTTCCCATTCCCAGTGCCGTTTCCGTTGCCGTTCTCGTTCCCATTGCTGCTGTTCCTCTTCTTCTTGTCCTCGGCCGCCTGTGTCAGCCGGTTGTAGGCGACAGATACTGTTGTCTGGGCGCAGTCCTTGGTACTACGGTACCACGACTCGAGCTGGGCCTTGTCGACAAAGGCACGCAGTTTGGTATCCTCAGCCTTCATGGCGTCCATGAGCTTGGCACGGAAGCCGTCGTCCAGGTCGTCAAAGCGGCTGTCCAGCGACTCCGTGAGTACACCGAGCGCGTCAGTCGGCCTCACATATGGCCGGAAGTGCTCGTCTTCAAGCTCTAAACGTGACGTCAGTATTGCTACAGGGAGCGCGAGGGTAATACCGAACTTACGTTGATCGATGATGGCGAAAAGGGTGTGGTACAATGCTGTTTCACCAATAGCGCTAAGCTGATCCGAGTCGTTCTTGTCATTGGTCTCGTTGACTTGTCGCCAGTCATCCCGGATAAAGCATCGCCGCCAGATGAGCCGCTCAGCATTAGCACGATCTTCGCCCTTAAGCCCGTATCTTGCAACATTTAGGGCCAAGTAGAATTGATCACCAATGGCGTTGAAGTGCTTGGGGTCCAGGTACGCCAGGGTGAGCAACTCGATGAGTGTAAATGGCTCTAGCGCCTCATGCTTAAGAAGACGCGCCATGCCATTCTCGAATACTTGGGCGAGCGCCTTCTGTTTGTTGGGAATCAGAACACCGTGCTCCTTCATGGCCAGCTCCAGCTCAGCCGCCTCGTCGACGGCTTCTTGGACCGTAGGATAGATTTGGCCGTATAGGTCATCCTGAATCTTGATGATAGCCAACTCCTGATCAATCTTCTCAAGATTCGCCTCGTTCCTCGCCTCGCTGTCGGATTGACCGTTGATTGCACGTTGAGCGCTCGGGCCGGGCCCCGCCTCAGCCATCAAAGCCAGCTTGCCAAGACTGAGCTCAATTTTCTTGCTCCAGACTTGCTGCTCACGAGTAAGCCCCAGGTTGAGGAGGGTTTCGGCAGCATGGTCAATATCCTTCTCTCTCTCAACATCGTTGATCCAAGAGATCTTGGCTAGCTCTGGCTTGGTTCTGAGAAAGCTGGTTGCATAGCCCATCATGTCATAGGGAAACTCGAGGACGGCCTGAACCCCACTGCTCTCGAGGAGAACGTCGTAGGCGTGAAAGGCAAATTTCTCCTTGTAGTCCTCAAACAGGATGCCCATTCTCCGCCGCTTGGAGTCCACCAGGGCAAGGGCCTTCTCAGCCTCGCTGCTGGTAGTCTCCGCAGCCAACGCATCCTGCTCGAGAGAGAGGATCTGTTGCACCACTACCTCAGCCAGCGAGTCAAACGCCTCATGTTCCTTGGCAAGTTCGATTGCCTCATCCCAAAGACCGTAGTCCTTAAGTTTCAGAATCTTACTATATCTATCCTCGAGATATTTCTGGCGGTAGGTCTTGCCCAGCTCCTGGGCCTGTACGTCATCGCTTTGAGAAGCCCAGCGGCTATACTCGCTCAGTGCTGTGAAGTAACGATTGGTGAGAGAGGGCAGGGTGTCGCGGATGTATTCCAGAAGAGTCCCATTTACCGGAGGCTGCTCTGGAGATGGTAAGTAGTAGGTGTCGAGCCACTGATGGCAGAACTCAACCAATCGCTTCAGGTTGTTTGCGATAAAGTGAGTAGAAGTCCAGGGTTCAGGGATAGCGTTGCCGCCCGCGATATTCTTGGGGTCGACGCCGTATAGACGCCAGTTGTTAAGCCGATACTGGTATGCTTCGTGCAGAGCGCCGTTGTTGATCGTCACAGCTTCCCAGACCAGTCGGTTGATACCCTCCTCGTCCGTCAGACGTTCAGTCCAGGCGTACTTGATGATTTGGTATCCCCATGCAACAAAGATGTCCAGCCTCCACACGTCGTTGATAAACCAGTGTCGCACGGGATCTACCTCGCCAACTGCCGGGTTTGGTTCTGTTTTTTGGTGCTCATTGATGTAGACCGCTGTCTCGGAAATGAGGTTTTTCTTGTCGCCGTCTGCTCGTAGCGCGAGGAATTGCTCGTTCTTCTGCCATATCCATGTGGCCACCGCCATCTTTTCGGCATTGTAAAGCAGAATCCACCGAGTCCGAGCATCCAACGTGACGCCGACAGCATTGAGATGTGCGATCAGTCTGTCGAGATAGCTCATCCTCGTTTTCATATTGTTCTCGAGAGAAGCAGGCAGGTTTGCAATAAACGGAGTCTTGGAGCTCACGATCTCATGGCTTAGCTCAATCGCCGCATTTCCAATCTCCTGGCTTGAAAAGGGTAGATCACGCCTGCCTTGGAAGACCACAGGGTTTTCATCCTTGATGCCGAAGAACACCGCCTGCTCCAGCTTGCTCTTTGCGGTCACCTCCGGCGGTTTCTCGCTGGCAAACCGGTCGACGTCAGTGGTGGCAACTCGCACAGTCCCGACTCCTTGGAGCAAAAGCACCGCTGTTGGGTTCTTGGTACGATGCCGATGCGCCCGCAAGTCGTCTTGTGAGGATCCTCCGGCGCTGGGCTCTTCAGTTCCAGAGCCGACGATTTGAATTGTGCCTTCGTCTCGGAAATCTACCACATCCTCGAATGTGGCGGGGATTATGTGACTGTCCTCCTGTAGTTGCGAGTCTGGCGAGTCTGGGGGAGAAGCCATAGAAGCCACAACCAGGGCTCGATCGAAAACAACAAATGCGACTAGCGCAGGCCGGGGAAGATAAACACGAGGCTTTTCGGCGGCAGTTATCCTGACAGGGCTTGTGTATGAGGTCAACGGTCGAACCATCCCAATATTCACCCCTTCCGCGGAAATCACGGCCTCGACGAGCGAGTACCGCGACTGTCTTTTGCCAGCGAATGCGATGAGAAGTAGCAAGTGCTGCAGCGAGTCTTGTCCTTCTGATATAGCTTGGCTGAGCCGGTTCATATCCACGTATTTCTTGTCCAAGCCTCGGGGAACAAAGGTAAAGTCGATGACCTCGAAGGAGTCCTGGGCTGAAGCCCTTGCAGATGGGTCTGCTTGTTGTACGTTTCGGATAAGTTCGTCACGAACGTCGACATCGGTAAGGAGGTCGTGATGGCCGCTCCTGTGCACCCTCCAGCAGCTCAGACGCCCCTTTGTGGTGACTGCAACAACCGCACGCTCCCCTACTACCGAACCGTGGTTCGCGCGGGCCGCGGCAATATCTCCTCGAATAGTAGAGGAGCTAAGGGCATGGCGAATGCTGCCAAGAAAGCCTCCAGCGCCGCTGTTCAGACCATTGCGAAGGAACTGTACCGTTATTCCAGGCCGGCCGTGGGTATCTCTGACGTTCATGTAGGCGAGTCGCCCGCTGCTAAATGTGAGGACGAAGCCAGCAGACTCGGCATTAACGATCTGGATGATATGCTCCCCGGAGAACATGCCCGAAATAGTATCCTCAACTCCACTCCGTTGTTGACGGATGAAGTCCAGCGTGGCTGCACTGGAGATAGACTCCCAGTAGGCGATCTTTCCGCTCACAGGCATCACAATAACCAAACCAGGTTCCTCTGAGGAGGCCGACGGCGAGACGAGGGATCCGAGTGGAAGGGGATCGGAGGCATGTTTGGAAGGATACGGCAGCGTGAATGTGAATGTTTCGGGGGAGGCAGATGTCGAGGTATAGGGCCATACGAAGGCGTGGGTGTGGGTGAGGGTCAAGCCATAACCAGTGGATGAGTAGATGGCGCCGTGCTGTCGGTCTTTGAAAAGTTTAGCAACTATGAGCAGCAACGAATTGGAGCGAAGCATATGGCTAGACTTACTTTGCGCGTCTGCACGGATTCTATCCGGCAAGGCGGGAAGCTTACTCACGGTATACGCGTTGTTCTGAGTCTGTAATTGCGGGTTAGCAGTTGACTCGCAAAGGGGAAGGGCCGGGAGGACGGCGAACCAGTACAATGCTCCCGTCTCCTTTATTGGCTCTCTCGCCTGGCTTCGGCTTCTTGGAGCGGACGCTGAGCTCCTTGCGCGGCGCGCGAATATTCTCGATACCATCGCGCTTGATGCTGAGGAGGTCGACCTTGTCGGATTTGACCTCGAACATCTCGGGCGGCGCATCGGGGGTCGCGAATGTGGTTTCGGACAGCGGGACCCTTTGGCGCTTGGCCTTGGGCTGCTGGACCGAGGCATCGGAGCTGAGAGGGCGTTGTCGCCGGCGACTACTGCGCGTCCCCTTGGCGGGGCCGCCTTCCTGGGCAGCGGGCGAGAACATTTGATT